GTAATTTATTATAACGTATTACAGTGTTCGCTTTAGGCTTGGGTATTCAGCTCCAAAAGAAAAGTTTGCCCCAGGAACTGCAGTCATGCCTCTTAGCCCCATCCAGCTATCATCAAGATTTAAGAGGAGAGCAGGGATCTGAAAATACCATAGTATATTATTATATTGGCGAGTTAGATAGAGTAAAATAATTACTTGACGTGACCGATACCTTGAGTGCTAATCCAGCAGTAAAAGTGAGTAAGGGTTCCTTAAATTGTCGAGTGTCAAAATACTTGCATGAAGGGGATAAAACTAAAGCATACAGTGCTGAAGTGTCAAACTTATCCTTTTTTAAAGCGACAAATGGGTCGAAGAGGTAGGATCTGCAGAGTGCGCTAAAACAGGAGATTGTGCTTCCTGCTGGATTCTATTGCCTGCGTCGTAATAGTTGATCCAAGATTTGAAGCTCAAATCTCGCCTTGATAATGGTAAAACAAGCCATTTACGATAGTTAGTTGGTTAGTAAGTTAGATATATGGGTGATTTTGATGTCCGTTTTCCTCAATTCGCAGCGCTACAAACGCTCAAAAATAGGGTATTTGATCCAGCCAAACTTTTGGAAAAGGGTTCCGTTAGGGTTAGTTAGACAAAAAAAAACTCTAACTTTCGTTCTAAACTACCGACAAGAGTAAAACTGGTGTCAACTTAGAGCTTAAACACTTGACTACAGGCTTTCGTTGTCCGTCTGTACCTCCACTGCTAGACTGCTTTACCAAGTAGGCATTTTATCAGTTCTCACAATCCTGCGCTTCCGTCTCCAACAACAAGGCGTATAGACAAAACACATGCACGCCAGCGTGGAGCGTCGACCGCAAAAGAAGTCTCAGCAGCAGCGCACTCTTGAGTCAAGAGTCTTGACCAACCTCGGCCTCGCTGTAGAAGATGGAGAGCACGAAATGACTCCAAGCGAAGGGCGTCATCTGGGTAACGTTGCCGGATTGGGAGTACCTAAAAATCTTTTTAAAACTTGATTTATCTAAGCCAGCGACCATTTCGCTAACTGTGCTGCTTCCTGTCCGGTTGTCTCGTAAAGTTATTTACAGGTTTGGCTTCAGTAAAAGTTTTTCTCCACGGAATCTTTTACGTAAGCGACTGGCCATTACTACTTCGGTACCGTAAAATAATTCGAGAACATAAACTCCACACTGCCCTTAAATTACGGGACATGGTATGGGATGTGCGGCACATTCCATACCCCATCGATGAAGTCTATCCTCGAAATGAACTGTACATGAATTTCATATCTATCCAGTGTTTGAATGCTTCAAAGCTTGATCGTTCATTGGTGCAACGATGATTTGCTGCTCAGAGATCCGATTTTTTTTTTTTGACAAATAGCACTAATACACGTATAAATGCAGTCGACACACAAAGGATATTTATCACCAGGGTACCACAAGTAGAGACAAATTTATCACGAGGGACCACAAGTACAGATTTCCCCGGCAAATCCACGAAGGTGGGACCAATAAATCGTCCGAGTTTACAAAGTTTACACAGGAAATCTGATCCAGGAAAATGTATTGATTTATAAGAAAGTTTTGACTAGTAAGCAAGAATATGACGCACCGCCATTGTTGAGGTCGGTCGAATTGTGAGGCGGACGTACGTGCTCTTGGCCTCTTGTCTGTTCTTGGGTTGCGAGGGCATGGTGAAATTAGTAAATGGCGGCACCTTAGTACGTGTAGGTAGGCACTGCAATACATTATGTTCATCCTGTGCCTTTCATTTGCTCATGCAATGCAGCAACTTCCACATGCATGGCATTTCCTGCGAGATGACCAATTCCCGCCAAATTTAAATTAATTCAGTACGCGTCCTGTCTAGTGCTGCCCATCTCTCTTCGCTTCTGACCACTGACTGCACG